GACTGGTTGGAAGGGTAGAAGATTCCATTATTAGCTGAGGGCAGGATAGGCTTCCCTAAATAAAAAAAGTGAGCAGAGTAGGCGATAGTCTGATAAATTGGGGTAGAGAGTTCCAGAGGATGGGGGAAGCTCTGGAGAAGTCCTGGAGATGAGCATGGGAGGAGGAGACAAGGGAGCTAGAGAGCAGGAGGTCTTGCGAGGAGCAGAGAGTACAGTTCGGGTGATATTTAGATACAAGATCGGTGATGTAATTTGGGACAGAGTTATAAATGGCTTTATATGTTATTGTTAATGTTTTGAATTTTATCCGTTGGGCAATGGGAAGCCAGTGGAGGGATTGGCAGAGACGGGTGGCAGATACAGAACGGTTAGTAAGGTGGATAAGTCTGGCAGCAGCATTCATGATAGACTGAAGAGGGGATAGCCTGCGATGAGGTAGGCCAATGAGGAGGGAGTTACAATAGTCAAGGCAAGATATAACAAGGGAGTGAATAAGTTGCTTAGAGGTTTCCGAGGTTAGGAACGGGCGTATCTTGGAGATGTTGCGAAGGTGAAGTCTACAAGATTTGGACAGTGATTGGATTTGGGGCTGAAAGGATAGATGGGAGTCTAGGATTACACCTAGTATCCTGGCATGAAGGGAGGGAATGATGATTGTGTTATTGATCTTGATGGGGAAGTCAGGGGAGGGGGCATGGGCTGGGGAGAAAACTAAGAGCTCAGTATTGGAAAGATTGAGTTTGAGGAAGTGGAGTGACATCCATGCAGATATGTCGCTTAGTAGGTTAGTAATGCGAGAGGAAACTGAAGGGGTGAGGTGAGGGGTAGAAAGATAGATTTGTGTGTCATCAGCATAGAGATGGTACTTCAAGCCATGGGAGTTTATCAAGTGACCAAGGAAGGAGGTGTAGATGGAATAGAGAAGGGGTCCAAGGACAGAACCTTGATGGACCCCTACAGAAAGAGGGAGTGAAGAGAAGGAGGCAGCGTTACCTAGGATAGGTAGGGGGAGAACCAGGAGAGAGCAGAGTCTCGGAGGCCAAGAGAGTGGAGTTTTTTGAGGAGGAGGGGATGGTCAACCATATCAAAAGCCGCAGAGAGGTCAAGTAGTAAGAGTATGGAGTAGTGGCCATTGGCTTTATATTGGTTTTTATATGACATCCTCCAAGGATTGCGCGCACTGCGGCACGATATGTCACCCGCTGTGTCCACTGGACACAGCTGAATAAAGATCAGTGTACCGGGCCACTGGCAGTACCATGTGATTGCTGTGACCAATCACAGCAGATCACATGAAAATTGTAAACAGTGGATGGCATCCATTCATTGTGTACTATTGGGTTATTTACTACCAAAGAAATGTAGCATTATACATGTTGGCCTAAATTTATGAAGATAGATTATTTATTTGCAAAATGTTATAACAGAAACAAAGAAAAGCTTGTTTTTTTTTTCCCAAATTTTCAGTCTTTTTTTGTTTATCACCCAGTGGTGATAAATACCACCAAAAGAAAACACTATTTATGTGAAAAAAATGATAAAAAGATGAAAGCTGAAAACTGGCCTGGGCAGGGAGGGGGTGAAAGTGTTCGATATTGAAGTAATTAAAAACTCCAAAGACATGCTGGTAGGTAAATTGGCTCCTGTCTAAAATTGGCCCTAGTATGTATATGTATGAATGTGAGTTAGGGACCTTAAATTGTACGCCCCTTGAGGGTTAAGGACTGATGTGAATGTACACTATAAAGTATATGTACAGAGCTGCATAAATTGACTGTGCTATACAAGTACCTGAAAAAAATAAATAACGAAAAAACAAAACGAAAAAAAAAAACATTATTGCAGTTTACCAATCTTTAGATGTCATGGGTGCATTAGTTTTCTTTTTTTTAGGTTTTTTTTATTCCTATATTTTCACCTGGTGATCCAGCGAGTAACACACTTCCTGTTTTGCTGTGGCTATCTGTCTATGAAGGAGCAATGAATTAGCCCTTGGACAGCAGCATTGGCTGTTAGATGGACTAGCAGATTTAGATGGATTTTACAAAAGTGATTAACAATTTAAAGACAAACTCTAGCTAACGTTTTAACAGTTGCAGCAACCTTTTTTCTTATGGGATAATGGTTTTAATGAATAATAGCTGACAGGGTTGAGCTTAAGGTTCAACCCAAACATTACGTATAGTAGCAGTATTACCACCACTATTATTCATGACAGCTTCCTGCCCCCAGTACGTGGAGTCCCTAACAACTAGTGACATCACCTGCCTTTTTCATTTACATGGCTAGAAATCCCCAGCAATATAAGCAAAGGGACACTGATTGTTTTTTAAAAAAAAGGTGTGGATTCATCCATAAATCATACAAGGCCCTTCAGGTCTCATGTGTGAATTTTATGGGGGAGCCTATTAAAAAAAGATACATGTTAAAAAGATAAATGTCCATATATGGTCGATGTTGTCACCCAGAAGACTTCAACCCTTTGTTTATAAAAGCTGTGATCTGCAGGACCTCTCATTCAGTGGGAATGAAGTGACTGGAACTGATGTGTTGGTGAGTGTCAGGTAACATCTACAATGCAAGTGTCTACAATGCATGACTGGATGATATGGTTGAAAATTAATGTACATCATGGGACATTTATTTTAAATTAAAGGACTTGTCAAAATGGTCTTTTACTTCATCTTCATTGATTCCCCCTGGCAAGGTACCCCCTTCCCATGTTGGGGACATGTGGTCTAGTATGGATTGAAGGGGTGCACACTTGCTCTACCTTTTCCTGGCCTGCCAGGCTGCATGCTTGGATAAGGGTCTGATGTGGATTTTTGGGGGACCTCACTCTTTAACTTTTATGTGGGGTTCCATGTAATTGGGGGGGGGGGGGGGAAGCAGCCTTTCTTGCTTTTTTTGCATGGAATTCCCCCTTAAAATTCATACCAGACCCAAAGGGCCTGATATGAATTGGGAGGAAGTCCATGTTGTTTCTTGTTTCTTTTTGTGTGAAATCCCCATTGAATCTATATCAGACCCTTATCTGGGATTAGGGTATTGCCTACTTATATGAAATCCCTGGCCACACTGTTTATTAATAGCTGTCATTTTGCTGGCAGATTAAAAAAAAAAAACATTTTAATTCTTTCTAAAGGCCAGTTTTGCTGTAGCAGGTTGTATACATTGCACAGATGTGCCACTTCGCAGGCAGATTAAAGGAATCCCCTATGCGTGTTATTTAAAGGAATTTTGCACGTGTAATATTTTACATTAAGATTTAATGAAATTGCAGTTCCCTTCCATATAGAAATTACATTTTTTTTTGGGTACATGTCTCCCAGGGCAGTATTTTGTAAATACTTTATTTATACAGTCCATGGTTAGAATGTAAGATACTTTAAGACTTACTGTAAGATACAAAACATACCATATATGAGAGTACACAGTCTTTACAACATTGGGCTCTATTCACAAAGCGGTATCTACTGCTTTAATATCCATGGTAAATACCTCTTAGCATTTTTCAAAAAATTTTTTGCAATTCATTAAAAACACTTGTTACAGGAGGCATGCATTATTTCATCAAAATTTGCAGTATTTTTCTCATGAAACCAACTGGCATTTCATTGCATGACATCATATCCACTGGGATGGATACAGTGGAGAGGGATTAGAACATCTGTCATTTTTTATTGCTGTCTGTGCCCCTGTTAGAGAGATTCATTCTCTCTCTTTCCACTGTTTCTCCTTATTATTGAAAGTGAAAGAAAAAGAAAATCCCACATTTTGGGTTAACAGAACACTAAGGGGAAATCTTCAAATGGAAAACAGATGGCAAAAAAAAGGAGGTGCAAACCCTCCATCGCTCAATCCAAAATGAATGAGCTGCACTTTAAAATGATTTTTGCTGTGATATTTGGCAAATTCATTGCTATATCGTTGGACATGTCTGTTTTGTCATGCTAGAGAATAGTCAAATAGCCACTGGTGAACATTTACTAAAAACTGGTGGCCAGAAAATATGGTGTAGCTATTCATAGCAACCAATCAGCTTCTAAATTCAGCTTGTTCAATGAACCGTTGACAATAACACCTAGCAGCTGATTGCTTAATATGCCCAGCTGCACCAGAATCCCTGTCCTCTAGTTTTAGTAAATCTCTCATTCTCATTATCTGATGTTAACTCTGGTATCCACATGCCAAACTTTCAAACTAATGACATCCCTCTCCTACTCATCCCTCTCCTACAGTTCATTTCCACATCTTTGTAAGAATACTTGTCTATTCCTAATCCAAATCTGTTTTGCAAACAAATTCATCAAAGATACAGTATCTCCAGAGATATTTGTGAAATGTTAATGTATTTCCATTGCATATGACATGCACTATATTGCCAAAAGTATTGAGATGCCTGCCTGTACATGCACATAAACTTTAATGGCATCCCAGTCTCAGTCTGTAAAGTTCAATATTGAGTTGGCCCACTGTTTGCAGCTATAACAGCTTCAACTCTTCTGGGAAGGCTGTCTACAAGGTTCAGGAGCGTGTCTATGGGAATTCTTCCAGAAGCGCATTTGTGAGGTCAGACACTGATGTCGGATGAGAAGGCCTGGCTCACAGTCTCCACTTTAATTCATCCCAAAGGTGTTGGGTTGAAGTTAGGACCAGGCTAGTCAAGTTCCTTCACCCCAAACTTGTTCATCCATGTCTGCATGGACCTTGCTTTGTGCACTGGTGTGCAGTCATATTGGAACAGGAAGGGGCTATCCCCAAACTGCTCTTACACAGTTGGGAGCATGAAATTGACCAAAATGTCTTGGTATGCTGATGCATTAAGAGTTCCCTTCACTGAAACTAAGGGGCCAAGCCCAACCCCTGAAAAACAACCCCATACCATAATCCCCTCTCCACCAAACTTTACACTTGGCACAGTGCAGTCAGGCAAGTATCGTTCTTCTGGCAATCGCCGAACCCAGACACGTCCATCGGATTTCCAGACAGATAAGTGAGAAAACCCATTCCATAAAGCTCTCTACGCACTGTTGTTGGGTTAATCTGAAGGTCTCACAAAGTTTGGAGATTTTTAGCTATTGACCCTGCAGACAGTTGGCGACTTCTGCGCACTGTGAGCTTCAGCATGAGCTGACCCCACTCTGTCATTTTACATGGCCTACCACTTTGTGGCTGAGTTGCTGTGGTTCCCAGTTGCTTCCACTTTGTTATAATACCTTTAAAAATTGACCATGGAATATTTAGTAGCTTACATCCGGATCCCATATGGCCGCTGGTTGTCATTCAGGATGGCCTTGCGGTGTATGCACAGTAGTCAGGGGCACCTCCCTATGCGTTTCGTGTACTTACACTTCCTCAGAGTACACGAAACGTGGCCATATTGGATCCGGATATAAGTTCGTTCTTTTAATCTGTTTATGCTGGAATTTTGTGAAATAAAGACCTACTGCACTATTGGAAGCTTTCTCTGGGCTCGTCATTTCCTTGGGAGCCCGTTTTTGAAGGTTTTCTGTGACCTGGATTGGTGTGTGATCCTCCCCCTGGTGGCTGTGATTGGCATATTTGAAGACTAGAGGGTATACATAGATGGATGACACCTAGTGGCCTACACGCTGATGACACCTATCCTTATGGTATTACAAGTCCAGAGTAACAGGAGCAGGTCTTATTTGCTCCATGCACATTAATTGCGCTATCTGGTTAGTGCAATGTTTGTCTATTCTCACGAGCACAAGAGTCACAGATTTCCTTTACTGCGAATTTATTAATGCTTGCACGCAATATTTCACTGTACCACTAATATTTGACTCAGTTGTTTTAATATGATATAGTGCAATTTCTGTTTGATTTTCATTTTGATTTTATTAGCGCTACATATTTATATATTCATGTTTCTATCATGGTACCATGCTTGAATTAACTGAGCTCCTGAGAGCGACCCATTCTTTCATAAATGTTTGTAGAAGCAGTCTGCATGCCTAGGTGCTTGATTTTATATACATGTGGCCATTGAGGTGAGTGGAACACCCAAATCCAATGATTTGGAGGGGTGTCCCAATACTTATGGTAACATAGTATATGTTCTAACAAGGGATTACACCATTGTGATTTGCATGTACATTGCATTAGATTTGAATTGATTGGTAGATTTATGCAGCAATATATATGCTTGTATGTACACAAAAAAGTCTCAGAAAACCTGTTCTTTTTGAAAAAAGAGTGTAGCCATGCATGGCTCCACCCGAATGGTTGTATTGTTCATGCACAGAGTTCTACAAATTAATCAACTACAAGTACCGACATCCTTTGTGGATGTTGGCTTGTAGTTCTCAATGAACTACCATGGCGCTGTTGAGTGCTCTGATGGGTTCATTGATTCTTCCTGTCAGTGAGAAAATGCCTGCCTGTACGATGTATGGACAGACAGCTTACACTGACAGCTTGCAGGATTCCTGCATGGCACCAGCGATCTACTGATTACTGGTGCAATGCTTTCCAGGCACCTTAAAAAAAATAGTAAATGCACATTTTCTTACCTGCAAAAAATGTGTGTTTATTATTTTTTTTAAAAGTGAACTTATTATTTAAGTTGTTCAGTCAACACCCATTGAAGATTTTTAAAAATGTGGATACTAACTCCCTTTGAATTGTGGTGTGACAAACAACTGTGATAAGATATAGGATATATTTTATCATATAGCTCCTATTGGCTTTAAGGGAGCTACTTTTTCAGCAACTAAACTTGCCAAACAAGTTGCACAGTTTTGTCTACTGCAGGATCTACAGGAGGGAATTGCAAAGACTGCATTATTAATGCTAGTGACAGACTGTCTGGCATGTCATGTTTTAAATTTTGCCTTTAATACCACTTTAAGTCTAGCAATTGGCTAGTCAGACTCCAAGCACTGAATCTTAGGAGGAAGAAGACAGGATACATACTTTTACTTGTTACTCTACTCCTCTGGCAAATGGTGCTCCCCCCCACACTCAGAGAGTGGACTGTCCCATAGGGGTTGATTTACTAAAGCACCTTGTCTTTAAATGGTTGCAGTTCCTTGCATGACTGACTACTTTTAGGCAGAGAAGAGATTTACTAAACACTCAGTCCACAAATAGACACAATTGGAATAACTAATGGTCACAAAACTTAGCGACTGTCTACATGAGTTCACCTCTTAGAACCAGGTGAAAAGCAGGGAAAAATCTTTTTAATGACATGATCTCAAGCAATTTATACTTCCTATACATATGTTGAACATTTTAAAGAATACCTTCTTTAACCACTTCAATACCGGGCACTTTTACCCCCTTCCTGCCCAGGCCAATTTTCAGGTTTCAGTGTTCTCACACTTTGAATAACAATTGCGTGGTCATGCAACACTGTACCCAAACTAACCTTTTAGCATTTTCATCACACAAATAGAGCTTTCTTTTGGTGGTATATAATCAGCACTGGGGTTGTTGTTTTTTGCTAAATTAACAAAAAAGCCCAAAAATGTTTAAAAAAAGAAACACATTTTTCTTTGTTTCTGTTATAAAAGTTTGCAAATAAATAATTATTCTTCATAAATTTAGGCCAAGATGTATTCTGAATAGAAACCTTTTCTCATAAATGAAAATACCCAAATCATAAGTGTTCCAAATGTCCTCAATCACAATAAATTCCCAAAGAAAATTATAGTAAAAATCAGTCTCCATATAATAAAGTCTTTTCTTCCTCCAAAATAAATGTCTTTCTCTCCTTTTAGTCACCGTGATGTATCCAGATTTTCTTGTACCTCAAAAAAATATACTCAAAATAGTGTATTACCCTTTATCAATAATTTACGTGCCACTAATCGTGAATCATGCAAAAAACTGCATGACATGTGCAAAACACACGTGAAGGGAAGAGGAAAGAGAGGAAAATAAATAAATAAATAAAATATACTCTATATATAAAAAAATATTCTGTATAAAATAAAATTATATAATATCATCAGTATAAAATAAATTGTGAATATACTCAATTAGGAATACTCCAACTGCAAACAATAAACAGTGATTCACTCCAATCTATTGTAAAATCACACTTAATAACAAAAAGAGTTCCAACTACCAAACCAAAACTCTATCCAAAACGTTCCTTATTTATTTGTGCAAGCAAAGATATAGGTTAAATAAAGTGTTCTACTCCAACTGGTGTAAAAGTGAATAATTACCTTATATCAATAGCAAAAGGGCATTTTCTCACATAAAGGATGAAAACATTCTCTAGGGTCAAAATTATTCCTGTAGTTTCTCCTCCATTCTCCTCATGGAATAAATCAGGGATTTAGAGATGATGGTGTAAAGATATAACAAATAAATATAAATATATAGCAAAACATGGTGCGATGTGCAGATCGGATCACATTTTGACATCGTTGCTTACTACGTGTGAAATCTGTGAATGATCACAGAGGTCACATGGTACAGGGCTATTCACAACAGCCTTGTACCATATGACAAGCTGTGACCAATCACAGCTCACACAGTATTTCACAATAGCTGCCAGAATGCGACCAGAGAGGAGGAGAAATTATTGCTTTTACAGCCTTTATGGATATAAAAGCAATCAGTGTAGAAAAAAAAAATCTTCATCACCCCCCACAAGTAGTACAATGTTACTATGGTGACACTGTACTGCTAGGGTTTCAGTATGTTAAAAAAAACCATAAATATTAATATAAAATAAAAATGTAAAAAAAATTTTAATTATAATTTTTGGTTATAAATTAATCTGGGTTATTTTGTTTTCTACTAAAAAGATAACTGAATAAATTTTGGCCAAGATTTATGAAGAAAGATTATTTATTTGCAAAATTGTTAAGAAAAACACTTTTTTTCAAAATTTTTGGACATTTTCATTTATATAGCAAACAAAATAAAAAATCCCAGTGGTGAATAAATACCACCAAAATAAAGTTTTATCTGTCTCAAAAAAATACTAAAAAATTCATATGGGTACAGTGATGCTTGACCACGCAATTGTCATTCAAAGTGTGATAGCACTGAAAGCTGAAAATTGGCCTGGGCAGGAAGGGGGTAAAAGTGTCCAGACATGAAGTGGTTAAAAGAAATACAAATGTTTTGCTGTGTTGCTAATTAAATGTGTGTTGGTTATATGTATCCCAATACAAAGGATCATAATAGTATTCCAAAAAATGTGATATGGGTCCCAACATCATAAATACACATAAAATTATGAAAACAAATTCAGAGGGTGACACCACTGTTCCACAGTGACACACCAATAAAGAAAAATATCAATTCATAAATCAATAAACATAGAACTGTATGGAAGTCCACCACCTATTTGGAAATGTCCAAATAAAATAAGTAGTTATATGTAGGAAGGTTCCAGCATCATTGTAAATCTTGCCATATGTTTTCACTTGTGAATGACAGTAAGCAGCCTTGTGAATTCTGCTTATTCAGCATCACATTTGTATTTACATTTGAAATATATTGTTTGTTACACTGAGCATGTCCTAGGACTTAGGGCTGACCACACCACAGAGTTGCAATCTACAAGTATGTGACAGCACAGTGGCTTAGTGGTTAGTACTGCTGCCTAGCAGCACTAGGTTTGCTGGTTCATATAGCAACCATGGCACATCCTGCATGGAGTTTGCATGCTCTGCCTGTGTCAGTTTCCTCTCGCGCTTCAAAGATATGCTAGTATTTGTTTTGGCTCCTGTCTAAGTTGTCCCAAGTATATGAAAATGAGTTAGGTACCTTACATTTTAAGCTCCTTGAAGGCAGGGCCTGATGTGAATGTATAATATGCATGTAAAGTGCTGTGTAAATTGACAGTGTTATATAAGTACCTGAACTAATAATAATGCATGTTTTTATATGTGTTTTTTGCAATTTGATACATTTTAGATGGGTTTCACATAATGGAAACAAAAGAGCTGACATTACAAATAAAAAGTGTGTGGTTTTGCTCTTCCACCTCCTTTCCCTTGCAGGACTGTATGCTCAGATAAGGGCACTTTTTGGCCATGGGGTTCCCCTTCAGATCCATGACAGACTGAAGACCCCATGCTCTTTGATACATGTTGGCTATGCTATTTTCATTCTGCTGTCATTGGGGATTAGTCTCTGGTTGTTATAATGCCAGCAGGTGCCGTCTCCTAACAACCCACAGAATTTGCAGGCAGTAATGCATGTCAGTGTGTTTAGAAGGTGCCTGGCCATGTCCCAGTGTAGGTCCATGCAGAACACATTCATCATGTTCTAATTTGGTGGGCTAAACAAGAACACACTGCACTGGGGAGAACTAGAGCTATTAGGATAGATGACGTGGGTGTGAGGAAACCGGTTGGGCGTAGCCTACTCGATGTGGACGTTAGAGAGCTTCGCTGTTCTGTGCTGTATGGGAGAGATCCGCGGTGAGCGTTAACTGTATCTCAACCCTTTTTTGCGATTGAAGCTGGTGTCTGTTGGACACCTTGTTTGTGAGTTTCCTTATACCTTTTTTATTAAAGAGATAAATGAAAAAAACGTATTGCACCATTATGTTCTCTTTTTTGTCCCTGAGTGTACTGCATGCTCTCATGGAGGTATGAGAAAGAGTGGAGAAGTTCATCATAAGAGCTTGGGCTGCAAAGTTGTTTGTCTGTGATAATTATTATCCGGAAGTGTCTGAAACATCACCATATCTATTTGGACATCGGGTTCATTGCTCCCAGAGCACAAGCGCTGTTGCTGGTTTATAATCTGACCAGCCATTAGCTCTGGTGAGTTCATTTAATCTCCTTTGGTGGTGGATTTTTCACAATTGGTTCAAGTCACTGAAGATATATATATATATTTTTGGACACTAATTTATGTTTGGACACTATAATTATTTATTTAAAACACTAATGTTTTTTGGATGATGATATACACCTTTGTATAAGTTTGTTATTAGTGCATACCTTTTAATTAGGAATACTGGACATATATTT